CCTTCCTTCCTTCCTTCCTTCCTTCCTTCCTTCCTTCCTTCCTTCCTCCCTCCCTCCCTCCCTCCCTCCCTCCCTCCCTCTCTCCCTCTCTCCCTTCTTTCCTTTCTTTTTTCTTTCTTTCTTTTTTTGAATCAAGCTTATGCCCTATGTGGTCTGAAGATACTACTTGATACAAGCTCGGAGACTTTTTGACCCTCTGAGGAAGATTGCTTTTTCTCAGTCAAGGAGTTGCGCTGCGTTTCTCTCTTCGGGGTAACAGGGATGGAAGTGGTGGGTCAGGCAATAAGACAGGCGCAGTAGCATGGAGAGAACTGTGTCTTGGAAGATGGCCCCCTTCTGCTTCTCTTTGTACGGTTGGATAAGCTTTTGTAAAACTCTGTCCTCAACTTTTTTCTTTTTCTTTCCAGATAGGGTTTCTTTGTGTAGTCCTGGCTGTCTTGAAACTTATTCCGTAAGTTCAGGCTGGCCTTGAACTCAGAGATAACACCTGCTTCTGCCTCCCAGGTGCTGGGATTAAAGGTGTGAGCCATCACCTCCTAGCATCAATTTATGATAAAGTCTCAAAAAAAAAAAAAAAAAAAGCAAGGTATCTATTAACGGTGGGGCAAGAAAAGACTTTAACCAATGGACAGTTATGAGATCAATCGTGGGACCTTGAGCAATCTCGAAAGGAAATCAGATATGTGGATCAAGGAAACTTCAGCTTTACTGTGCAGCTGTGTCAGCTGCTGGTCAAAGTGCCCTTCATGGTGAACTCTCCTTGGGACTGAGGAGAGGTTGCTCACACTGCTTCAAAAGCTAAGGCGCAGGGTTATTTGCCCACCTGCCCACTAGTGAAGGGTCCTCCAAAGACCACGACTCCACTTCCTTTTCATTGTGGCTTTGACCTCCATTATAATGGAGAATCCTGAGAAGAAATAGCCTTAAAAAGTGATCGGACCCACCATATTTTGGGAAGGAGACTCACCCTACTCTATGAGTATGGCACCCATTATGGGCAGGAATAGCCGCACACTAAATGCTAGATCACCAGACTCAAGATTGATAAAAGCTTACTGAATGCCGAACAAAAACTGACCGGTCAGGGACAGAATCTGGGCTCTGGCATCAGACTGTGATGGCGGTCTGTTTCTAAGGTAGGCTTTTTATACAAGAAACCATAACCAGGTAACAACAACCAGGTTATGTGGTGTAGGAAGGAGGAGGGGGGCACTATTACATCATTTTTACCAACATAATTGATTTTGTTCCAAGTGTATTGGATCTAGCATTTAAAGCTGATTGGCTATGATATAGGTTTGGGGACTTTCCACTTCCCCACAGTTCCCGGAGAAAGGAACATAGCAGGATATTGTGTTGTTAACTCTAATAGAACATGCATTTACCTTTAACTAAAGCAGAACATGCATTTATCATCTATTGTTTTATTCTAAGCAGCAAGTATTGAACTATTGCGTTGTATCCTTGTCTCAGACAAATAGGACTTGAGAACTTGAACTTAATTTCGCCATATGATCAAGATGGAGACTTGGAGGCAAAATGGCTTCTGACATGCTAAAGGTGATAGATAGCAGGTGTTAACAGAGGAGCTACAATTATGCTAAGACTTAAAGTAGGTCTCAACGGAGGGGCTTTAGAGTTTAAGCAGGTTAAACGCGTTACTGCATAAATACAAGAATTAAAAAAAAATTACAATGCAAAATCTACTGTGTTGCTCCCTTTCTCTTTGGAACAGCTCACTCCTTGGAATCTTTGCTTGCTTTGTTAAGTAAACTGCTTAAACTGTGTCTCATTGATTTTTTTTTTCTTTGAAAAGACAAGAGCTGAGAGACCCTCTCCCATCAAAAAAAGGTATGTCTCCTCAGTAGTTATCCAAGCCTCTCACTGACACCATTTATAAAAATTACTCTACGGCACTTACTGAACTCTTTATAGGTCGATTGAGAAACGAGTACTTATTCTCTGTGCATTAATCAAAGCCTTACATAAATACACTAAAATGGATTTTAGAATTAAGGCAAGTCAGCTGTGAGTTCTATATCTGGAGGGTATTCAGTTGGCATTGTCTTCACTCCTATAGAATTTGTGTTTGCCAGGTTTTAGTATGTTATCAACCCATGCTATATTAAAACAATATTATAAACATTTACACTGAGGCTATTAAAGTTCTGTGCATAACTACAGCCATCTACTCTACAGTGACTTTAGGCAGCAGCAGCCCTTGGAGAAATTTCACCTTGTGATTTCTGTTTCTGTAGGTTTGGGTTGTTTGTAACCAATGTCCTCTAGGTTTTATAAACAAGAAGACCTCTATTCTAATTTGCCTCTCTGTTGCTGTGATGAAACACTGACCAAACCCTGATTGGCGTGCAACATTTATTTGGCTTGCTTGCACAGTCTGTGATCTAGGGAGACCAAAGCAGGGACTCAAGGCAGGAGCTGAAGCAGAGAGCATGGAGGAACACTGTTACTGTTACTGGATTGCTCCCATGGCTTGTACAGCTTGGTTTCTTCTAGAACCCAGAACTACCTGCCCAGGAGTGACATAGCCCGTAGAGGCTTGGCCCTCCCCCATCAATTATAAATCAAGAAAATGTCACATAGACATGTCAGACCATTTTGATGGAGGCAGTGACTCCAAGTGACTCTAGCTTATGTCAAGTTGATAAAAATTGATCAGGAACAACTCTTTTATATATTGGCTGTTAGCTTTGAAGGCAAATTTTTAATTGGCTCAAGCATGAAATTCTAAGTATCTCCCCTATATATGGGTTAATAACATACTAAAACCTGGCAAACACAAATTCTATAGGAGTGAAGACAATGCCAACTGAATACCCTCCAGATACAGAACTCACTGCTGACCTGCCTTAATTCTAAACTCTATTTTAGTGTATTTATGTAAGGCCTTGATTAATGCACAGAGAATAAGTACTCGTTTCTCAATTGACCTATCAAGTATTCAATAAGTGCTGTGTAGTAATCCCTGTAAAGTGTGGTTCTATTAAAACTGTATTTGGGGAGTTGGTTCCAAGACATGTCATGTGCAACACAATCTATGAGAACTCAACTCACAGATTGGTATTGCATATAATATATGCACAACTTATGGTATACTTTAAATCATTTCTAGATTAGTAGTGATACCTCATGCAATTTAAATGGCATATGAATAGTTGTAATATGATTATATATTATACTATATATTATTATATTTGTAAGAAAGTAGTGGCAAGAAAAAAAACGTCTGTCCATATTTACTACAGATGAAAGTTTTCCCCCAAATGTTATTGATCTATGATTAAGAGAATCTATGGATGAAACACCCATAGATATGGAGGGCTTGCAGTATTTGTATAATGATTGTTGCTGGTTCTACTTTGTATGCCTTCATTTTTATATCATTTTAACTGATTTGCTGTATTTTAAAACTATTTGGTTTTAATTTTGTGTATGTGTGTTTGTATAGTTATGCTCACATGAGGGAAGGTGCCAGTGGAGGCCAGAAGAGAGCATCATATCCCCTGGAGTTGAAGAGATGGTGGTTGTGAGCCACGTGACATGGATCTGAGAACTGAATTTGGGTCCTCTGCAGGAGCAGTATATGTTCAAAGCTGTTAATCCATCTTGCTGCTAATTAATGTTTTGTGGATATTTATAAATCATGACAAATCTTCCTTCCTTCCTTCCTGTTGAAGAGAAGTTTATTTTGACTCCTGGTTCTGTTCTGAAGGAGAAGGCTGGCACTTGGCAATAGCTTTTCTGGGGTAGGTGTGTAATGTTTGTGTGTACATTCACATATGTGAATGTGGGCGTATGAGTGCACATGTGGAGGTCAGTGAACAATCTCGGGTGTTGGTCCTTGCCCTTCACCTTGTCTGAGACAGGGTCACTCTTGTTGACTGCTGAGTGCAGGAGGCTAGCTGGCCTGGGAGCTCCTGGCAATGTTCCTACTCTGCTCTGGTCTCCAAGTCATGGTGTCCTGGTGCCACTGAATCCAGCTTTTGTGTGGGTTCTGGAGATTCAGATTCAGGCTGTCAGCTTGCACAGCAAGTGCTTTGCTCGCTGAGATCTCTCCATGTGCTCCTGGTGATGGCTGTCTCGCCCACACCATTTATCTATCTATCTATCTATCTATCTATCTATCTATCTATCTATCTATCTATCTATCTATTCATTCATTCATTCACTTTGTATTCTGGCTGTGGTTCCCCCACCTGTTCCTTCCAGTCCCCCCCCCCCTTTCTCATCTCCTCCCATGCCCTCCCCTAGTCCACTGATAGGGGAGGACCTCCTCCCCTTCTATACCACTCTAGCCCATCAGGTCTCATCAGGGCTGACTGCATCATACTCCAACCAAGGATCATGCATAGAGAGGGCCTAGGCCCACAGAATCTTAAGGTGGTACACAAGGCAAGAGACAGGGAGACTGTCTGTATCATCCCTGGTCCCTCTGTTATGAAATCAGCAGCATTTGTTCATGAGGACTTCACTCTATAGCTTATTTAATACTAATTGCCTCCCAAAGGCCCATCTCTAAATGCCCATGTTAGATTAATTTTCCACCCTCTTAATACCTCACACTGAGGATTAAACTTTAACCCAGGAACCCCTTAGGGATACTCCCCAGCCATATCCAAACCGTAGAACAAGGTTTAGAGGGTTATAGGTGGGCACTGTGACTGTCATTAAGTAGAATTCATGGGGCTCATATTACTTTCTTGAAGCTGCTATAATAAGATACCACACACAGTGCCTTACCACAAGGAGTTTATTTATCATATTTCTGGAAGATGTGGAAATTCAGTATTGTTGTACCAAAATCAAGATATTGGCTGGGGTCTGTTCCTTCTAGGAGAGCATATGCCCCTTCAGGGGAGTCATTTCTCTGGATCTAATATTTAGTGCTCACTGGCATTTATTGGTTTGTGGCCATAGCATTTAGATCTTCAAGGCCTGCATCTTTAAATATTACTCTGTTCCATGCTCTTCTTACCTTTCCATCTGTGTGATAGATTTCCTACTGATCATAAAAGATATATATGATTATATTTATGACCCACCTGTCTAGTCCTAGATATTTTTTAATTTAATTATTTTTATTAATTACAGTTTATTCACTTTGTATCCCCCCCTGTACCTCCCTCCTTCCTCCCCTCCCAATCCCACCTTCCTTCTTCCCCACCCATGTCCCTCTCCCAGTCCACTGAAAAGGGAGGTCCTCCTCCCCTTCCCTCTGACCCTAGTCTATCAGGTCTCATCAGGAGTGGCTGCATTGTCTTCCTCAGTGGCCTGGTAAGGCTGCTTCCTCCTTAGGGGGAGGTGATCAAAGAGCAGGCCAATCAGTTCATGTCAGAGACAGTCCCTGTCCCCATTACTATGGAGGCCACTTGGACACTGAACTGCCATAGGCTACCTCTGTGCAGGGGTTCCAGGCCATCTCCATGAGTGGTCCTTGGCTAGAGTATTAGTTTCAGAAAAGGCCCCTGTGCCCAGACTTTTAGGATCTGTTGCTGTCCTTGTGGAGCTCCTGTCCTCTCCAGGTCTTACCATCTCCCACTTCTTTCATAAGATTCCCTGTACTCTGCCCAAACTTTGGCTATGAGTCTCAACACCTAGATAATATTTTTATCTCAAGACCCTTAATATAACTACACATTTGAAGACCCTATTCCAATACAGGGTAAAGCAAATAGAAATTATTTGACTTCTTTTCCCATTTGTGGACCTTTTGTTATTTTTTCTTGCCTTGTTTCTCTAGCTTAGAACTAGAACACTATATTAAATAAGAGTGAACAGAGTGGACACTTCTGTCTAGTTTCTGATTTTAGAGGGAATGTTTTAAGCCGTTCTTCCATTTAGCATAATGCTAGTATACATTTATCATGCATAATCTTTATTATGTTGAGGTATATTTTTCCTATTTCTATTTTTTGGGGGATTTTATCATCAAGAGATTTGACAAAGGCCTTTTCTGCATTTGTTATGATTGTATGATTTCTGACCTTGAACTTACGGAATTACAGATGTAAGCCACCATATCTCACTATAGGAGATTTATTTATAATATCCCAAACTAAGAAACAACTCAAATGCACATTGTGGTATCTCTATACAATGGAATACAATAAGTATTCCAAACTGGATGGTTTTCTGTCTACTTGACACAGGCTAGGGCATCAGAGGAGGGGGCCTCAGGTAAGAAAATGTTTCCATAATACAGGGCTGTAGTCAAGCCTGCAGAGCATTCTTAAAACCAGTGATTGATGAGAGATGGTCCAGCCCATTGTGTGTGGTGCACCTCTGGACAGGTGGGCCTGGGTTCTATAAGAAAGCAGGCTTGCCAAACCATGCAGAGCAAGCCTGTAAGCAGCACCCCTCCAAGGTCACTGCATCAGCTTCTACTTCCAGGTTCCTGCCCTGTTAAGTTCCTGTCCCAGCTTCCTTCAGTGATGGACTACAGCATGGAAATATAAACCAAATAAAACCTTTCTTCCCCGACTTGCTTTGGTGATGGTGTTTCATTGTAACAATAAAAACCTAACTAGGACAACATGTACGTCTGTCTGAGTCTCAGAAGCATTGCGATAAGTGACACGTCAGACCCCATAGGCTACATGCTGTATTAATTCATTTAGGTCACACTGTGGAGGTGTTTCCCTGGGATTGGAAAACTACAGGGACAGATGACCACAGAGGGGCGCTAGTGATGAGGAAGAGCGGTTGGCAACAGGGGTAGGAGGGAACCTTTCTGGGCGATAGAAGTGCTCTTCAATTATACTAGTGGTTACACAACTGTACTTGTTTGCTAACACTCATCAAACCGTATATGTAGAACGGCTGAATCTGGTGGAATGTAAATAACTCAGTAAACCGGTTTTAAAATGGAGGTGTTCTTTTTATAGCTTGTCAAATGAATGCTTCCTCTGCTTCTTCGTCTTTAAATTTTAGATTTTGCTGTGTAGATATGAATACAGAAGAGATGAAGCTCCATTCCTCCTACTTTCTCTCTCACACTCTATTCTCAAAGATGATGATCATTCTGAGGATGGTGTGCATTATTCTTGTGTGTGCATTTGTCCTTTTGGACATCTGTATGTGACACAAACAGGACACAAACAGCCATACCTTTCATTTAAAAAATACACAGTTGGGAATTTTCTGTATACATCTTTTGCATCTTGTTTTAAGCACTTGAAATCGTGTTTTTGAGAGTCATACATCTTAATATATACATATGTGATTAATCTATTTTAATTTATGTAGAGTATTCCACTATGTGAATATATTATGGTTATTTAACATTTTGCACCAAGGGAGTGCTTGCCGCTCGCTTTTTTCCCATTATCAGAAACATTCAAAGAACACCCTCCTGCAAGCTACCTTTTAGCACATACAAAAGCATCTTTTCAGGTGAGGCATCTGAAATGTCATCACTGTATTTACAGACTTTCAAAAGTCTGCCATGATTGCATTGATTATATCCCACTCTCAGCGTATCTAATATTTCATATTACCAGATTTCTTAAGCTTTGGGCAGCAATACCTAATGTGCATATTTTAGATTACAAGTGGTAAGAGTATATCTCGTGTGTGTGTGTGTGTGTGTGTGTGTGTGTGTGCGCACCACACATCGGTAGGGGTCAGATGTCAACCTTAGGTATCATTCCTCAGGTGCTGTACACTTTGCTTATTGTGACAGGGTGTCTCATTGGCTGGAATTCATCAATTAGGTGAGGCTGGGAGGCCTGTGAGCCCCAGAAATACACATGTATGGTGGTTTGAATAAAAATGGTTCCAAAAGGCTCATATATTTGAATGTTTAGTCATCAGGGATTGGCACTATTTGAGGGTTAGAGGATTAGGAGGTTGTGGTCTTGTTGGGGAAAGCATGTCACTGGGGGTGAGCTTTAAGGTTTGAGATACCCAATCCAGGCCCAGTCTCTCTCTCTCTCTGCCTACAGAACAGGATGGAGAACTCTCAGCTAATTATCCAGCACCATGTCTGCTTGCATGCTGCCATGCTTCTTGCCATGATGATAATGGACTAAACTTCTGAAACTGTAAGCAAACCCCCAATTAAATGCTTTCTTTTATAAGAGTTGCCTTGGTCATGGTGCCCCTTCACAGCAATAGAACAATGCATCTCTGCCTCCCCAGCACTGGGGATACAAGCTCACCACACCTGGCTTTTTACTCATGTTCTGGGGATAGGACTCAGGTCATCACACTTATTTAGTAAGCACTTTATTCTCTGAGCCATATCTTCATCTCCAAGACTATGTATCTCTAGTTTCATTGTTTCTCCTCCCCTTTCTTACCATTGTTCTTCCTTCCTCCATGTTATTCATTTTGGTAAATAACATCACTCTTATCTAGATGCTCACACCAGGAATTTATATGTTATCCTTGAACCTCCAGCTTCCTTCTCCCATATCCATCCTCCAAGGCTTTTATTTCTTGTCCACAGCATCATAATGACCTGCTAGCTAGTCTCCTCCATCTATTGACTCTCCTCATTACTTTGGATTAGAAAAGGAGTTGAATGCGTTAAGTGGGGCTTAATGGGACATCCTAGCAGGAACACGGACGACTGTGGTGCTGAGGGTGATTTAAACTGTAGAGGTTTAGCTCAGAGGTTTCAGAGGAGAAGAATATTAGTATGTGGCCAA